GTCGGCATGTGCTATCGGTATCGGTGCTGATGGTGCAGCTGCAAGGTCGAGTGGAACATATATGTCATGCTCATTGTCTAATTGTGCAATCTGTAGCTGGCACTCCTTGGCAGTCGCAACCGTGGACACTGGCCCCCGAGACCGCAGGAGCAGCTTGTAGAACGCTTGCGGCCTGTTGCTGGGGAACTCAGCCTGGCCCTTCTGGAAAATCTCCCTGGATGCGAGGACGCATTGCAAGTAACAGCGTTTCGATGGAAGTAGTCTGTCAAACTCCTTCTTGCGACCACCCCTCTTGTGAAATATATTGTGCGACATCGCTCTGAAACCGCGAGAGTGCAGCTCATCCACCAGACATATCACAGGTACTTTTGGGTCGGAAAGCGGCATGTTGCATCTAATGGGCCCTTTGCTCTCCAGTCCAATGCAAGAGTGAACCGTAGACTCAACAACGGACCATACCGTGATCTTCTTGCGATTGGCAAGGTCGGAGGTGAATATCGAAAATACGTTGACGTAGCAAGGCGACTCTGGAACTGCAAATACATCCAGACGATTTGGGACCGATCCAGGATGGGCGGTTGGGTCCTCCATCGCGTTGTGCGGCAGCACAGACCAAGTAGTCACGTCCACGGTCGGTTTGTCGAACGTGTTCACCAGGATGTCCTTAGCTTGTTTCGATACCACCTGGTAAATGTGAATGTTATCATCGCCAGGTTCGGGGCCAACAGAGAAAAACTGGTACTGATCCAGCGCGTGCTGCAGGAAGTCGAGCATCATCTTCTGGCCATCGGTCAAGCCACGCTGCTGAAGATGCTCTTCGCCTTCGCCATTTCCTGCATCGAACCGGACCAGTGTTCCAGCGGCAACTCCAGCGTCAAATGCCACATCATCCGGGCCTCGAAACTCTTGAGCACCAGCGCCACCAACTGCACGACTGCGCTGAAATTGATCATGCGTCTGAAGCTGATAGATCCGTTGTTTCACCAGGCGAGCCTTGGCCCTGCAAGCGCAATCAGGGTTCTTCATATTCACAACTCTCGACCACGTGTTCCAAACGTGTTGGATGCTCGCCCCAGTCTCACTCAGCAGGAAGTCTTTGCCCCGCAGGTTCTGCTGCAAGCGCATCGTGGAAGACAAGAAGGGAAACTGCATCCGCCGACTCGTTGAGAGCACACGTTTAGCTGAAGCACGCGGCCCCTCAGCAACATGATCGTCGAAGGGCACATCGATCAACGCTTGTACTCTCTCCCTCAGCGCATCTGGCAACTCACGCCCGTTAGTCTCCGCCAGCGCGTGCGCGAGGGGCTTGAGCGTGGAGGACGGGCCGAGGAACTCCAGCGTGAGCGGGTGGTGATGCTCCATCGGCGTCGAAAGAAATTGGCCGATTGTCCGCGCAGCCACTCCATGCTCACCTAGCCGCGCGAACAGGTAAGGCACCCTATCCAAGAACTCAAGCTTGCGAAGGCCCAAGCTCTGAGCGTATCTCACTGCGCCCATGCGCGAATTCCTGAGGCCAACGTCGCCGCCGAAATCATCGAGCGTCCAATCGTTGATGATGTCTACGCCAGCCTTCGCGCGGGGGCCCCGACACACGCTTCCAAACCCATGGGCCCTGCAACCTAAAGCCTGGGGAATGACGGTGGCCTTTCCCATTTCCCACCTTCTTCTCCTTTCCCCACCTCCCGCCGCCAGTTACCCGTCCTCCGAATTTCTATGGGTGCTGTTTGGCGCAGCTTGCACTGAGGGTTTTCTGAAGCTCGATCACCTGCACCGAGGCTCTGGCAACGAAACCCAACATGAAACCCGTAAACGTGCATAGTTAGTTGAGGTGGGGCCGTGGGGCCCCCGACGCGAAGTGCACAAGTTGCCTGGCCAGGAAGAATGAGGTTTTGTCCCATGGGTTTGGTCTCGTCTGTTTGGGCCCCCGCCTGCAACCAGTTCGAAGCTCTCTCGTAAGCGAACGGCAACAACCTCCCCTTCCTGGGACACTCCACCTTGCGCCCTGCCTCGAGATCCTCCTGATGGCATCGGCAGCCGCCCCCCCACGACTGCAGCGAGGTCAGCCACAGCACATACCACGAGATGAACGTGAAGTGCAGGTGCCAGCTCGAGCTCTGCAACGCCGCCCTGACATTCTTCACGAGCACCGCATCCTTCAGCCTGCGGACGAACTCGAAGCGATCCCACATCCGAGTAAGAATTTTCAGCACGCCCTCCACTGCAGAACATGCACGTGCAAGCGTTGCCCATCTCCATGAGGCAAAGTATGGGGCCTTCGTCTTGTTCACAACGTCGGCTACGGCTGGGAACTCGCCTCTGATCGACTTCGCGATGTCGTCGCCGTAGGCCCTCAAGAAATTGATGATTGCCTTGAGGCCAGCTAACCAGCGAGGAAAGCATGGAAGGCTTGAAAGACCTCGCCTCAACACAGTGTCCGCGATGTGCACCCACCCAGGGGCCAAAATAGCAGTCGGAAAGAGTCGTGGTCCACGAGTCGCGTGGCGAGGCACTTTGATCCCAGCGTGCATGCAAAAGTCGATGAGGATGTCAGGGGATTCTGGTAGAAGTCGCTCGGTACCAAAGTCTGATGTAATCGAAACCACTCTTGCCAAGAAGCTACGCAATGCTGGATACGATTGGCCGACGATGAGCATTATTTTCCACAGCACTGCGTAGGCTTTGCCTTCCAACGTGAGCTGGCCATTACCGATCTGAACAATTGGCAAGATGATACGTCGGTGCCACCACCGACTCGGCGTGCATCTTATGCAATCAATCGAGGCCGCCATCATCTCAACACCCCTCCACTGCGGTGAACCATCTGTGAACACGTATATGTTTGTTCTTCGAATGTGCAGCTCGAACCAGAATCTCATCAAGACCATGCATGCTGTATCAAACCGAACGCGGCCCCTGACAAGCACGTCCCTGCCCAGTTGGAACGACGACGAGTCTAATAGATCAGCTGCAGGCACACTGTGTTTGGCCAATATTTTGGCGAACGCTTTCTTGGCGGCGTGAATGTGGCGCAGGTCTTTCAGATGCTGAGACGCGTCAAGCTAAGCAATCACAACTTCAGCTGGGCACGTCGCGAGCCTATCTGGAAGCGAGTGCTGTCTGGGCGCCGACAAGACTGACCCACGTGAGCCACCTACAATTGGATGCTCGCGCTCTGCCTGAAACTTTGCTCGCCACCATTTGTACTGGGCCATGCCCGGCCCGATCTGGAGAAAGTGACGCGCAGGTCTGAACTTATCTGACAGTGGTATGAGCTTGAGCGCAGGCCATTCATACGCAATCCGACCAGCATATTCTGGAGACGTGAACACCGTGCGTTTCACAAGCAAGGCCGTTTCGACACCACGAGTACGAGCAAACTCATCAGCGACTTCATCGCATGTCTGGATCAGAAGCCTGTCGGTATTCGCGTACGTGTCATGGTGTCGGATATGTTCCCATATGTTTGAAATTGAGGGTGGCACTACAATTCTGTTCACGAGTCGTTGAATTGAAATGAATTTATAACCAATCACGCCGTATATGTGCGAAGTGCATCTGCGACTTAAATCTGCCATCAACTCGTCTACATGTTGCTGGGGCTGCATACGGTCAATTTGATCGCAAGAGAGGGCCTCCCATCTGCTCAAGGCGATCGAATGAACTTCAACATCATCACGGAACAAACGCGATTCAGATATATTGAAACCAGACAAGGAGGCCGTCGAACAAATAATCAGCAACACCAGATCTCCACGGTTGGGGCAGTCTCGTGGTCTGCGCCCTCGCTTGCGTTGTACACCATCGCCTCGGGACTGAATGGGCGGTGGGCAGTCGGCACGGGCTGGCGGACGCCGTTGAAACATTCTAGTTTCGATCACCCCAAGCGGCCCCCGAGACCCGACTTGCAGCCAGGCAGCCTGTCCAAGTTAAGAGTCCTCCCACCTCGTGCTCGTCGTGCTTCTCCTCCTGACGCCATTCCTCCTCCTTGCCTCCCCGCCAAGTCCCTGTCCATTTCACGACAACCTGACCATCCCCCGCATTCTACTCATACAATCCCTCCCTCCTGATCCAAGGACGGTCACGCGTGCAAGGGTTTCAACGGCGCTCGCCAGTCCGTACCCACTACCCACCCCCAACAGATTGATTCCCTTGGGGCCATCTTCAGCCACTCTCTGGGACCCTGGCAGAGAGTCGTGGTCAAACTCCATGGCAGCATCTTCAGCCGCTCTCTGGGACCCTGGCACGAGGTCGTGGTCAAACTCCATGCCGCAACTCTTTGAGCCAAAATGGCTACGGGGCCCAGGGGAATGTTTGCCAGTAGTCCTGAATATGGTGCGGAACGGGTGGGTCTGGGGCCCACCCGAATCACATGTGTTGTTGTATTCAAACATAACATTCGTTGAGGGTGTATTGCAACATCTGATATCATTGAGGGTCGTATGGGGCGTATCGAAGACTGTTGAGGGTGTATGGCAACATCTTATAGTTGTTGTTTTTGAGAGTCCTTAGACATACAATACAAAGTAACATGATTGGTAACAGTAGTAATATGGATAACAGCCGTAACTGCGAGCGTAGCAATACACACAACATTGTAGCAACAAGCTACAACAACGGATGCTGATATGATGCGAATGATGACATGATTGCCCATTGATCGAAGGACCACGTTCTTAACCTCGCTCCCCCATGGTGCTTCTTAGCACATTGGTTTTTTGGCCTCCGAAGGCCCAGTCTTGCGAACCAGCGCGTCACAAACCGACCTGTTTGTGACCCTGGGCCTCATTATTTCCCTACACTTGTTGGTCTTTCGGCACCTAACCAGTGGTCGGGGTCCCGGCCCCGGGCCCCCGGACCCGGTGCGCCATTATATGTGTGTATATATATATATATATATATATCGAGGAATGGGCCCCTCGGTGGGGCCGAAACCAGCTGCATGCAGCAGATTTCGTACCCCCCCCCCCTTCCCAATCCCCCCCCTTTCGTCCGGCCCGAGCCTTCAGCACCGGCACGCTGAGGATGCAGGACACGCCCATGGCGAACATCTGGACGTTGTGGGCGTTCACCTCGCTGCGGGCGGGCGGGCCCTGCGCGGCCTCGGGCTCGGCGCTCGCCTGGCGGTGGAACAGCACCACCTCCGTCTGGCAGAAGGCCGCGTCCTGCGGGCTCGGAGGGTCAACATCGTCAAAGGTAGGTCGGGCATGTCCTCCGACAGGCGGATCATGGGCGAAAGATACGCGAAACGTGACCCAACAAAAATCAGACATAGTTGTATTGTGCTCAAAAAAAATCTTCCCCAGACTCTGTTCTTGCTACTTTTGAAGATTCCTCCTGAAGAGGGACAGGCCCGACTAAACTTCACGTTCGACCTGCCACCTACCCTCAGATCGGGGGGCGTCGCAGCAAACAGCGTGACGGCCGCGTCGTCGGCCTCCCGAGACCGCTTCCCGGCCACGGGGGCGTCGACAAAAACACCCAGGACAAGAAGCTGGTCCCGGGGAGGAGGTCGAGATGCCAGGGGGCCCATGTCACGAAAAATGCCTCGGAGGATACTAAGAGGGCCTTGGCCTCGCTGTCCGACATACCCCCCAGATGAGGATAGATGATCCAGGATCGAGGGTTTACAGTGCCCCCCAGATGGGATGGGCCAAAGGGTTCCACAGCCCCCCCCCAGATGTGATGGGGGGAGGGCGACGTCGACGACGACGAGGCCGACGCCGACGGAAGACGACGACGCCGACGCCGACGGAAGACGACGACGACGACGGACCACCCCACACCCACAGGGGGAGGGGGGTGGCACCGGCACCCACCACGACGCCACGCCTACAGGGCCACGACCACTGGGGGGAGAGACCCCATTTGTTCGCGAGGCACTCGCGAGGCTCACGGGCGCACCCATCCAGCGGGGGGGAAGGGGGCTCGATCATTTTTTGTTTTGCCCTAGGGAGCAAGGCGGTGTCTACAGCGTGGCAATGCGATCCATGATATGTGAATTGTGCCGTGCCCGAGGCGGTCATCTCTTGGAGTCCCACTCCTGGGTTCTTCCCCTAACGGGGACCCTCTGCTCGAACGCAGGGCTGCCTCACTTGGCCATCATCATCTTCACGAACTCCTCGTAGTTGATCTGGCCGTCACCATCGACATCGGCTTCGCGAATCATCTCGTCGACCTCCTCGTCCGTGAGCTTCTCCCCAAGGTTGGTCATCACGTGGCGCAGCTCCGCGGCACTGATGAAGCCGTTGCCGTCACGATCGAAGACCTTGAAGGCCTCGATCAGCTCCTCCTCAGTATCAGTATCCTTCATTTTGCGCGCCATCAGAGACAGGAACTCGGGAAAGTCGATCGTGCCGTTCCCGTCGGCGTCCACCTCGTTGATCATGTCCTGCAGCTCGGCCTCGGTGGGGTTCTGCCCCAGCGAGCGCATCACGGTGCCCAGCTCCTTGGTCGTGATGGTGCCGTCGCCGTCCTTGTCGAACAGCGAGAACGCCTCCTTGAACTCGGCGATCTGTTCCTCGGTCAGCTGGTCCGCCATTGCAAAACGTGCGGGGCGATTCGGCCGTGGACGGGGGTGGGCAGTGGGCGCGTCTCGGGCTCGGACACGCGGGGCTTGAGACAAAATGGCCACGCAGGAAGGGGGCTCGATCATAGATGTAAGACGAAGCCAGGAGGAGGACCCAAGTCTAGAACCCCTGTCGGCTATACGTAAGAGTGACCCTGGGTAAGAGTGACCCTTGGTGCGCGGTGTTGGGGGTGCCTCGGGGGGACCAAACCTGGGCGCGCAAGCAGCTGCCGCTGCTTCGTTCTCAGCCATCTGGGGACCCGTCTGTGCCCGCTCCAAAGGTCACTCCGGCGAAAGGTCACTCTTACGTCTAGTCGACCCTGAGACCTGGCGGCTCTGGAAGGTGTCTCGGGCGCGGCAGCCTCGAGAGCGTCCCAGAACGCTTCGGAAGGGATTCGTCCTCGCCCCAGCCCCGTCCAAAGGTGCATTCTCCGCCAGGTCTCGCAACGCCCATCCGCCCCTCGAGAGGGTAGGCCTGCGGCGCTGAGGAACCCTGCCCCACCTGCGATGGGGATAGAGCTGATGCGAGACTTATGTTGTATCACAGCAGCAATTCGGCCCCTGGCGTTCGTCTTGGGCTCGTTTTAATGAAATGATTCATTTCGGGGTCCTTACATGGGAAATGAACATCACTTCACCAATCTGGGGCACCTGGGGCCTTAGTGGGCCCTGGGGCCCAAAAATTAGTGACGTGATGGTTTTCGGGCCTCGGAGCTGACGGTGCTGCCGCCCCCCTCCTCCCCCCTCAAGATTTGCCAGGATCAAAAAAAACACGAGCCTGCACTCTGCGAGCCGAGTCGGGGACAAGTCGGATCGGAAAGCCGGGCCGAATCGGCAGGGCGGCAGATTCGACTTGGGAGTCGCATCGAATCTATCGCACCGAACTGGCTCCTGCGAGGGGGCAGGGCAGCAGACCACAGCACGAGCACAAACTTTTTGTTAAGGCCCGCATCGGCGCCGACCGCGCCTTCCGAGGCCTCCTAGACCGACTTAGCTAGGGTCGGAGCATCGCGCCCACCGACGCTGCGTCGGCGATCCACCGGCGGCGTCGCCGATGCATCTGCGCCGTCGCCGTGGAGAAAATCGGGCTCCACATTCGGGTCGGGCGAAAGGGGGGGATAGCAAAGGGGGGTTTGAGAATCAGCTCGCGTAGCTGATTCTCCCGGCGCCAGAGGCGGCTATGTATCGAGGAATAGGCCCCTCGGTGAGGCCGAAGCCAGCTGCATGCAGCAAATTTCGTAACCCCCCCTTTCCCAATCCCCCCCTTTCGTCCGGCCCGACACATCGAGCCGCACCGCCGAAGCGCCGGCGATGCGGCGCGGTCCTCCGACCCCATCTGGGAGGCCCTGATAGAGAGCCCCTCCTGGCGCGAGGGCAGGGCCTCGACCGGCGTCCAGGCGGTGGTCGCCCCGGGTCGGGCGCTGCCAGAACTGGGTTTAGCGGGACCTGGCTGCGTGCTGCGCGCTGGGGGACCAGCCCCGCTCCACTGACCGGAATTGCGGCCCTACTACTAACCGGGTCCCCCTACCTGTCAGGAGGGGGAGAAACACACACAGACATGATTAATCGTCGACTCCCAAGAAAATATGGGAAAATATGGGAAGTGGGGGGATGACGAAAATCCCAACAAATATACGAAAATATGGGGAAATTGTTTTTGTTGCTTGCGTTTGTTTGTGCACCCGTGTGTCCCGTTAACCTGGTGTCCTGGCTATACCCGACCTGGGCAGCTCGTGGCCACGCGGCTGGCGGAGCGGTCCTGCACAAGGAGTGGGGCGTTCCCGGCCACTGCGAGCCAAGGCTTGGCACACGGCCACGGCGTCGCTTGCATCACATGCGGCTGCACCACACGGTTTGCACCACAGAAGCTGGCACCACGCAGATGTTACCCAACGCAAGTTGCGCCACAGAAAAATTGCACCACGCAGTTTGCACCACATATGCTACACACCCAGAGTGCAACCACGCACTGGAGAGATGATGCTGCATAGATACGCTTCCCGGGAGAGTTGGGGCGATGTTTGTATCTCGCGGCCCTCATAGGTGTCCTCTTGGAACCCTCTGGGGGGGGTGGGGGGCCTCCCGGGCCGTGTAGAAGCCATCTTGGGCGTCTTGGCGAGCTCTTGGATCGTCTCGGAGGCCTCCTGGGCCGCCTGGGGCGCGCCTTCGAGCCCTCCGAAAGCGAGGGGGGGCCTTTCGAGCTCTAGAAGGCCCCTTCAGGCGGCCCCTGGCGGCCTCTCCAGGGAGGTCCGGAGGCTTGTTCGGTAAAGTCTGGAGGTTTGTTCGGATCCTGTTCGGGTGTTTGTTCGGTTCCTGCTCGGGGGTTTGCTCGGTTCCTGTTCGGGGGGTTGTTCGGTAGAGGTTCGGAAGTTGGTGCTGGAATCGTGGGTTTGCTGTAGTTTCGCTCGCAGCCTGGAGCACGGGACGAGGAAACCGCAACCTGGAACCTACCGGGCGACCCCCGCTCAAACGCCGCGTACTGTCCCGCGCCGCCTGCCTGACATCCGCGCAAGACGTTGCCATGCCCAGCTGCACGGCCGCCCGCATGTCTGCCTTGCGCTCTCTCGCCCAGTTCTGGCCGCAGTTCGGCAAGACGTAAACGGCGGCGGTCTGGATTGCAACGCCGTCGGCATTGAGGACGACGTTGCAGCGCTCGAAAAGTACGTGCCGTCGCGGCCCTCCCGCTGGGTTCAGTCTCGAAGGACGGTGTTTCGCGCCCCCTTCTTCCTCGCTGGCACTTGGTTCAAGTCAGCTCGCCACTTGGCGGCGACCCTCGCCAATCAGGGAAGGGGGGTCGACCTTCACTCCGTGACCTTCCCAGAAACCAATATCCTTCCTCGAGGAGATCATACTGCCGACCCCGTCGATCACCTCTGGAAGTGATTTCGGGGCCCCTGCGCAGCACACGCATTTCAAAGTTCTCCATGACCTCTCGATGGAAGATGCCGCGTACGTCACAAGGCCAGGGGGGGCCTGTGCGAGCCCGTAGCGCAAGGGCACGGTGATCGTGCCGTCCGGCCGCACACTGAAGACGTTCGTCAACAGGCAGTCCGCCATGGCAGGCTCGCCCCACCGGAACGACTCTTCCCCCGCCTCTTTCATCCAATCGAAGATCTCCCTCCACAGCACGTGGAACTCGAAGTCCCTCTCGCCATCGCCCCCCGCGCCGCTATCGGGGTTGATGGGGTCAATGATCGCCGTGTTTCTCATCCGTCTCGCGCCGCTCCCCTTGCCCACCATTTTCTTGCCTTCCTCGGCGACTTTTCCCTTCGCGTGTTGCAGGCACCTGTGCGCCCGGATACCCCGAATTTCGCACTGCCGCGCTGATGCACCTGCACTCCATGACGGCGTGGGTCGTCCTGATGCCCAGGCGGTCGGCGATCTCGAAGTACGCCCGCAAGAAGTTCGGATGCTTCATTGTCTTCGGTCTCCGAAGCCATGAAAACCACAGGCAGGAAATGCATAGTGAGGAGGCCAATTGCTTTGTCCACATGGAGGCCCACGGGGCCGACGTCCAAAACCATCCCAACCTGTGTTCGGCAACCAACGCCTCGGAGACCCGTGGGTGAAAAGGCGATGCGCAAGTTCCTCTCGGTCACAACTGGCGTCTGCTGCCCCGTCTTCGTGTCAACCATGCTCAACACGAAGATCGGGTTGTGACCCTTCTTCAGCCAGTCCTTCATCTCCCCGACGTATGCCTGGGGGGAAGGCTAAGAAGTCGTTGCGACGCGCCTGTCTAGTCTGGGCGGGCACAATCAGCCACGGCCGTCGCGCCCCCGGGGCAAAAAGGGCCGACTCCGAAGACCCAATTCCTCGGACGACGTTTCAGCTCGCCGCCACCCTCCCGGCAACCGCAGGGATTCTGGGTTCCTCCAGCTCGCGCGCCCTGGCGTTTCTTAGCTACTTTAGGATCGACCTCTCCTTCAGAGGCACCCTGTCTCGGCCCATCTGGTTGCGCGCCTTCGCGGGCGATAGCCTTTGGCCGCGATCCTTGGCGCGCTCGAGGGTGCGGGCGCGCGACGGGGGCGCCCTCGCTGGGCAGCGCCCCCCCTCCTACTCGACAGCGAGCACCGAACGGCCAGGCATTTGGGGCAGAAGGAAGGAGAAACGCCACTGGCGGGCGCCCGACGCGCAACTTTTGCACGGCGCACCCACTGCTTCGCGCCCCTCGGCCGCCGCGTTGCGCAATCCCGGTCGACAAGCGCGAAGCTGATCGGCAGCATCGGCGGCAGCCTTCCGCAACTCCGCCAAGTCAGGGAATCAAATGCGGGCGTGTTCGGTCCATATTGTCCTAGGGCGCCCTGGGCGCCCTCGTTTGACCAGGGGGGCCCCTGCGCTGGAGTCGTCGGGGACGGGCACGACGAGGGCGCCGTCCGGCGTAGCGGGCGCAGGAGAAAATTCCAGCGCAGCGGGCGCAAGAATCGGCACGGGCTCGGGCACCTCGCCGGCTTCTTTCTGCGCAAAAGCGAAAAATCTGGTACAGGCTCGGGTGCCTCGTCGGCGTCCTCTTGCGCAGGAGCAGGAACTGGCACGGGCTCTGGTTCCTCGTCAAACTCCTCGTGACCTAGGAATGCGGTCGCATTATGTTGGCTGGAGCACCCAGAGAAACCGTTTCCTGTGAGGATGCCCACGAAACCATGTGGATCCACTGGAGCCCACCTTTGCAGCATGCGCTCGTAAGCATCATCGGGCTGCACGTAGGTTACTTCCCATGTTGCCCCAGGCAAGTCTGAGTGCCTGCGCATCCTCACGCCGTGGGTGACTCCGGCTGACTTGACTCAGAAGATCAGCGCCATCGTGTAGGACGGCATTGGGATTGCCACCAAAACGATACACGGAATTTCCTGGCGAACGGGTTGAATTGAAAGCCTTTACGTTCGAGCCACACGAACGAAGAAAGGAGGGGGAGGAGAAGGGTGAAGAAAAAGAGAAAGAAAAATGGATTCGAGAGCTCAAACTCTGACGCCCGTCCC